CTTCTTGCCCTTTAGTTTGACCAGCAGGTCTCAACTCAGTCATGTCAGCCTCTTGCCTTCCTTTCCTGATTTCTTACATCTGGGCATCGAGAGCTCTTGCGCACTATGGAAAGCATCCTTAAAGATCTGCAAGCTCTGTTCTGCTCCCTTGTCCGTGAGGGCAGTTTCCCAGGGGGTCCTACTGACAAACTCCCTGAAGAGCTGGAAGTTTGCTTTCCTAAAGTTCAGGGTCCTGACTTTACTCTTTGCCTGACCCATATCCCTCAGGACTGTGAACTCCACCACTGCATGATCACTGCAGCCCAAGCTGCCTCCAATCTTGACATCACCAATTAGCTCACGTGCACTGGTGACCAACAGGTCCAGTACTGCATCCCCTCTGGTAGGGCTGTCTATTACCTGGCTTAAGAAGTTAACCTCAATGCCCTCTAGGAGTCTCCTGGATTGCCTACAGCTCGCTGTGCTACTTTTTCAGCAGATGTCAGGGTGGTTGATGTCCCTCAGCAGGATGAAAGCCTGTGAGCGCAATGCCTCCTGTAGCTGGAGCGAGAAGGCTTCATCAATAGGCTCCCCTTGACCAGGTAGCCTGTAGTAGACACCAACCACAAGGTTCCCTTTGTTGCCTCGGTCTCTGATTCCTCCCCATAAGCTGTCAACCTGCTCATGGCTATCCTTCAGAGACAGCTCTTCACACTCTAACCATTTCTTGATGTAGATGGCAACGCCTCCCCCCTTCCTTCCTCACCTGTGCCTTCTGAACAGTGTGCAGCCATTGACAGCCACACTCCAGTCGTGCGATTCATCCCACCGAGTTTCAGTGATGGCAACCAGGTCACAGCTTTCTAACAGTACTGTGGCTTCCAACTCCTCTTGTTTGTCGCCCATGCTGCATGCATTGGTGTAGAGGCACTTCAGCTGGGCCTCTAAGGTCATGTCACCTTCTTAGAGGAAGACCCCTTAGTTTCTTTGAGGTCTTTCACTGCTTCTTCCCTGTTGGCTCCCATTACCTTTGGAGCCCCTGGCTTATCTCTCTAAGACTTCAAGTGTGCTGTAGTGCAGCCAGCATGTCTCAGAGCAATAGGCTGAGGGCCCTCACTAGCACCCCGTCTCTCTAACCTTGGTGTGTTGTCCCGCAGCTTGTCACAGGCAAGCCTGGTATCATCCCCCTCCCCCTTCAAGTCTAGTTTAAAGCCCTGTCAATACACTCTGTTAGCTTGCAAGCAAAGACCCTCCTCCCCCTTTGAGAAAGGTAAATCCCATCTGATGCCAGCAGGCCTTGTGCCATGTAGACTGTCCCATTATCAAAAACCACGAAATTGTAGTGGTGACACCAGCCTACAATTATAACTCACCTCTTCTTCCTCATGGTGGTGGTTGTGATACTGAGGAGGGCTTTCTCACCTCAAGAAATGTATCAACTGAGAGCAATAGTGCATGAAGCACTTTTTTATCCATACTTCATTCACATAATTCCTCAAATTCACCCTTCCAGATGCAACATCAGAAATGCCATCTGCAGTTCTGTACCGGCTCAATCTTTGGCCCGTGGTTCAAATCAGCATATAAGAAAACCAAGTAAGGTCACCAATACTCCTAACAAAAACACGCTAATTCTAATCTGAAGACAAATACTGGCCCATGAACATAAGAATGAATTAATTTACATTTCCTATGACTGTCTCAGTGCAGACTGACTGACGTGCAAAGACATGTAAGCTTTTATTGAGTCTTTTTCCATGGCTGATATAGTGGTTTTTTTCCATGTGGACTTTCTGGCATTAAATAAGGTAGCAGCCTTTCTTTCAGCTGGGATATCCACATAGTTTTGTTCCATTCTTCAGACACCTGTTTTCACACTAGCCATAACTCATTAAGAAATTTGTTGAAATTGGCCATGGAGCTCAAAACATATTTGGGATATACATTTAAACACAAGAGTGTGGCTGCAGAAACATGCTGTCTGTAAGAAATCTGGCTGGAATTTGGAATATGTGTGTCACAGTCATCTTTACAGTCAAAAAAAGTCATGAGAGAAAAGCACATTAAGGATTATTTTTGATTGTACTGCCAACACCAGCTTTAACACAAAAGCAACACATTTTAGCCATTTAGCATTTAAGCAAGTTCCATGAAAACTCACTGACTGTATGTTATGCTTGCTAATCTCAAGCAAAAACAATTTTGGCAGGATCTCTGCTTATTCAGTGCTTCACTCCAAACATTTTTCATTGCACTAACTACCCTTTGCTCCTGATTAATATAATAACTGCTACTCAATAGATGCATGGTCCTTGAATAACATTTTGTAGTTGCTAAGAAATGCCAGGTTTTTAATTGATTAAATAAAAATAGGACAGCTAAGTACTTAAAGGTTTGAAGACACTCGTATTAGAGGTGGGAAAACAGAAATAAATGAGCATCTTCTAGCTATCACATTCTAATGACCTTCATTATAACTGATGACAAATACTCCACATACAAGATAAGCATCTGCACTCACTACAGCCTAAGTTACTGTGAGAGGGTTTTTCAGGCAATACTTTGTATAAATCCCATGGGATTTGCAGCAAACATACAAAAGTCACTGAATGTATACTCTAAACACATCTTCACACCCGAAATCTCTCTCTTTTGTCAAGCATTCTGAGGTTGGGACACAGAGAAATGAAAAAGAATGAGGTAATACTAAAATGCATGCACCATTCCTGAAAACTTGAACTTGCTATCTCTTTCCACATTTGTAATCTATGGATTATAAATCCCAGTGTTTTTAAAGTGTTGCAAGTCACACACATGAAAACACAATTATTTTTTTAAGAGGAAAAAAACAGTAACACGATTACATTAGTTTTGGAGAAAGGATAACAAATGAAAAGTACCTGAGTTGTAGTGTAAGAGCTCGTATTTCTAAACGCAACTGAGACAGCCAAGCTACTTGTACCTTAATATCTCAATGTTCAGCCATTAAATCTTTAAAATAGATTTTTAAAAGGAGGTGATCAAACTAAGTATTCTAACTCTGTCCTGTGACTTATGATTCTCCCTACCTCACTTATTTGATAAAGCATCACACTGCCATCACAGAAATTACTTGCCAACCTGTGAACATAAGAACATCAGATGCTGGTCACACTGTAGTTTTCTGCCCCACAGAGGCAACGGTATAAAAAAATATTACTATTATTTGTCCCCTGGGGACACCAAAACCTAAGTGCTGAAACTGAGATACCTTCTGCAGACAATGAGATAAGCTCTGCAGACATCTTACATTCTCTCTCTAACATCCAAAACATGACTACATAATGTCAGTAGAAAACCTTAGAGCCCACAGGAGTTATATGCAAGGCAGTCTGCTGAACTTACTGTACAGTGTAACACTACCTTAAGGCTAACATCCAACTTCAGACATATGATCTTGAATACCCTAATCGCTCATACAGCTACTACGCTGAACTTAAGGCAGGACAAACAGCTGAAATCCAGCGAGGGAAATTATAACCTTACTGCTGCACTGTTCAGTATTGTGACCTTATTAAGCTTTAATACACTTAAACCACCGTTATACTTCAAGAAAATGTGGTGAACAGATGTGTTTTATTGCCAAAATTGATCTGTTCAACTGGACAAAGGAAGAATCATCATTCTTCTAAAACTACATTGACAGCAGAGACCAATTCAAAGAGAAAAAAAAATTATCCCAAAAGCACATGGGAACGCAAAAACATTTTTTCCAGTGAAAACTCTCATGGGGAATACACAATGTATGCACTCCACACTCTCTCTGTTATCTTCAGTAGACCCACAGCTGAAATGCACATGATAACCAAATGTGGAGTTGCTTAAACATATAAGAAACGAGGCTGACACAAAAAAAGAACAAGTGATACGTATGCAGATAACAAAAAAACAGAGCCAAAACCTGAATTCTGAGTCTACTGGCCTTTACAGCATTCAGTTTATTGAAATAACGTACACGGGAATTGTAACAAATAACTTTAATTCTAACTTACCTACTGAACTTTCTGTGAACACTGTTAAGGTCTGTCCTCCCACACTTTGCAAAAGAAATGGATGTTCCCTTGGTGCACTGACTGAAGCAGGTTTTCCTCCAATATCATTAATGCTTGCAAGCTCTTCGTTCAAAGTAAATGACACCTAACAGTCACAATTACCACAGTGTTACTAAACAGACTCAATTACACAGCTTTACAAGTTATGGGGAAACAAAAAGAGAGACAAAACAAGTAGTATAGCACATTTCCATTTCAAAAACATAAGAAGTGGGATAAGAGTCTTGATATAGTGATCTCTTGTTGCAATAGAGAATTCAAAGCTTTCATGTACTTCATAAAATTTAATCACTTTTTAAAAAGTTGTAAATTACTTCCTCCCAAAGTCGGAGTACAATTTGATTTTACTTATTAAAATGTAAGGCATAATAGGTTTTCAGACATTGTTCAGTATGAGTGCTTAAAATGTTTCACACAACTAGCTGAGTTCCAGAGAAAGTGCTAATGTACCACGACAAGTGTTACTAGCCTGGGAACTCCTGAACTGCGTGCAGCTCAGGAGAGGTTCAAATACAGCTCCTTTGCTATGTTTACATCATATACCCAATACAGGAGCTGAGGAGGTACTGGAGGGACTGGGTAACCAGAATCCCTAGCCACAGACTCAGCAAGACACCTGAAGAGGGACATTTCAGACTGGCACTGACTGCTTTTCCTGTATATTCTGCTTAGCCTCATTCTGCCATGCAGCAATCAAGTCCCCGGGAAGCCACCCATTCTCATGGCGTTCCTCACTGCTTGGGTCTGCATGGACTGCAAAATGTGCTTTGTAGCTCCCACAAATATCAAGATTATGGTATGGGGCTCACAAAATTAGGGAGGTTAGCTCATATTCCAGCCTAGAAGAGTTCAATCAAACATCCAAACTTCCAGTAGAAGGCTCTCCACTTATTGTAAAGGGAGTTTGGCCAGGTTATCAAATGGCAAATGCAGCTTGCTTCCCTGACATTTTTTTGTTCAGAGTTTCTTCCAATTCAGTGACAGACCTATGTGGTAGTTGAAGTAATTCTAACAACGTTACCTTATCTCCTGTAAAAGATACAAGAGGTTACTATCATTCACTGAGGCTGCTAATAAAAGCAATTATCTTTGCATGCAGAAAAACCTGCAAGTTGCTTTATACTTACTAGGACCAAATCCCAAATGTAAGACACAATACTTCCTGAAACTGCAACCCTCCATCTCCAACTTCTTTTGCTTTATCATCCTCCTCCTCAGTTCTCAAACAACCTTTTGCACTAACACATCCCAAAATGTTTAGAGAGAAGGTTGCTACTATGATTGCTGCTTACAGATGGGTAAGCAAACTTAGGGAACAAGAGACTTGATGGAAGTCCCACAGTAAACCTATAGGCAGAGCTACAAACAGAATTCTCCCCTCCTGATTCTGTGGTACAATGCTTCATTACAGGTGTAACAAAAAATTACAACATTAGAAACCAGCATGTTCCAAACTATGTTTAGAATTCAAAATATAACACATTCAAAGCCTTTGTATTTCGCATTTACTTACTTCTGTTCTTCCTTGATTTCTGCAAAAGAAAATATTTAATGTTTTAGTTTCCATAATCTAATTTCACAAGTTTAGCTTCCCTGATTAAAAAAACAAATTCAAATTCTAGTTTTGTTACTCATCTTCACTCCTGAGCTGCTCAAATTTTTGTTATGCTGATGCCCAAGAATAAATGGGAAAAGTCAGCAGGTGAGAACAGAAGCAGCAAAATAGCACATAAGTAAGTTAAAGAACATTCTCCAGCTAGATGTGCATATTTCTTGGGTTTAAGAAATCAAATGTCATGTTATGGGATACAGCCACTCCCCAGTATAATTTCATGTAATTTATAATCACTATACAAGCAAATACATTTCAGGTTTCAGAGAAATATGCACAGTGTTTGCAAGAAACAGGATTATGTACTATAAGAGGTGCAATATAATCTATTTTACTGCAAGTAACTTCTATGTACAATGTCAACAGTCCAAGTATTGCAGCCAATAAAGGTATAGTAAAGGCTTACTTGGCGATCCTTAGTTTTCCCACTTCACCTCTTCCTGAAGCTTTATTCCACTGTTGTGATAAGTATTTGGGGACCTAAAAAAAAAAAAACCAAACAGATTTCAAGAAAAGCAGATTTCAAAATTCTGTACAAATTGTGTATAAACTTTAAACGCGTTTACCCTGACTTCAGAATACAGTGCAATCTAAATACAGTAGACAATATATTCTATTAGGGAGAGCAAAGAGCCCAATGTAGCACAAAAATAAGGTCAGTGTAGAGTCCCAAATGAGGGAAAAATCTTATAACACCTTGAATCTCAATTACTGTTATCCAATCATGAAAGGCAAAAAAGATCAGCATCATATTCTTAAACTAAGGAGTCACAATAATTTTCTCAAATAATACTATGCTTTTAAGTATTCATTAGAAATTCTCATCTCTCTACAAAGAGCAACCAAAAAAACCCAACAAAAAAAAACCCAATAATGAGAAGTTAGGCAATAACAACACAGAGACCTAAAGGTGCTGCAAAGGGAAGGCTTAGAGTTTGGGAACCTCAGACACATTCAACAGTAAACCGTAGCCCTACTCCCACTAGATGTCCACTTCTCCAACAGCAGAACTACCCTACTTGGATCTACCTCCCATCACTCACTCCCACCCCTCCACTCTACAAAGAAAGGTCTTTGTGCAGCTGGTCAGCACATGGAAGGAGCAAACTGATCTGGCTGGGAAGTGTTTGGGACTTCTACATTTTAGCTGTGCTGATTATATATTTAGTGGGTGAAACAACCAAAGCAGCTCCCCAACCCATTTACTCTAATGGCTGCACAAAGCAGAGGTCAGTGCAGGGACAGGAACAAGCAGCCTTGATTAACCTGATATATCCAAGGAATAAAAGCTGCTCCAGTGACGCTGACTCACCTACACACACTCCTTCAGTTACAAAGGGTTTGGTATCTGCAGCCTCGGGTGGCCTGGGCTCATGATGGACTACGTAACCAACCAAAAGCTGGAAGCTGGCTTTCCAAGCGGATCCATTTTTCCTCTTTTCCTGTCAATGTAGTGTTACCTGAAACCACAGCCTGCCTCTCCACTTTCTAGACAAAAAAGTACCAGCTAACTACTGCCAGGTAAACTAAGACCTCAACAGCTGGCACTTCCATGGCTAGACTCAACACCTTGCTGCTGCAGCTGCGCCACACACCCACACTCTTCAGACCCCCAACTGCGTCCCAGACATGACAAGGTATGCACGCCTATGTGCAGTAGCAGCACTTCATTTTTCTCTGCCAGGAGAAGGTGTCCAGTCCTTGGCAGAGTTACCCTGGTTCTCCTTAAAGATCAGACAATCTTAAAGATGACAAACAATATTTATTCTGTGAAATCAAAAGGTTAAATGTTTGTTTTGGTAACAGAGTAATCTCAGTTTAGCTGGCGAACATCTATCAATCTGAGCACTTGTATGAGGGCACAGCACCCCAGGACTACCAAAAGGTGGCCTGTCCTGCTCGCTGTCACCACCCTGCCCCAGAGAGAACCTCCCAGCTCAGCCCATGTGTCTGTCCGTCCAGCCCTGCTGAGGCACTTCAGGCTTCTCAGTTTAGCCCCAGAGCAATGAGGAACTTCTCTACCTTCTCTGCTCCATCACATGGTATCAGTTCTAGCCATGTCTAGCTTTCCTTCCAAAAAACCAGCTCAATCGGTTATAAGCGCAGTGTAATGTGTTGCAGAACACATAGATTTGTAGATCAGGTTTTTTTTCCCTGACATTCAGCAATTATGACTGTCTTTTCTATGACGGCTTTTTATACAGACTGAACATGACACATACAACAAATGTGAAATTGGAGCAATTTCCTCCCTACACACAAGCTATTAGACGTAGAAATACTGTGGCACATAAAGAGGTGGAATACAGACCTAAGGCAATAAGGACAATCTCATGTCTTGACTATTTAAAACTAACTGTAAGATGTCCAAGTGATAAGGAAATTATAGATTTTTTTCAAAAGGAAATAGCTGAAAGCAGTCTAGTAGAAGCTACTACTTCCTATAAATGCTTTTCTTTCTAATAAGGATACAGCAGTCGCTGGGAGAACATCATCCTAAAGACCAACAGTAGTCTCTGTGTCTAGCAAAACAATGACTTGTTACAGGAAAACTCATTTACTGTTCCAATGCCACGTACTAAAGTATTCTGATACAGGAATTTTATATCTTTTTCCTTCATGTGCTCATGACACATCAGGATAAATCTACATTCTTTAATTTTGCAGCAATGTTCTTTACTGGTACAGCAAAGTTTATTCTGGCTCACACAGTCCATAGCTACTGAACACATCTGCGCCCACGTAGAAAAATGGTGTGAGACACAGCCAGTAAGAAAAAGAAACGCACTAAGCTCTGCCTGTGGTATTTTCTGTTTCCAGAGGCACTTTGTAGTCTGATTTTTGTCTTGCACAGAATAAAACTAAGCCAAGTTTCACTGTACAGCTTGAGGTGGCGAAAAGCCTGTTCCAGGAATTTGATGACAAAGAGCAACCTGATAACCTCCGAAAGCTCAAATGAATTTAACACTAACCTTGCACTACCTGTTCTTCAAAAAAACAACCAACCAAAAAAAAAAACAGGAAACACCTTGGTGCTGGTGCTTAGAACTTTCCTTTAGTGTCACAGCACCCCATGAAGTACTGTGGAATAGCTAGAAAATCCAGATGTCCTCCAACTGCTCAGCCAAACTAAATGTCAGTCCAGGTTTCCATAAAGTCCTAACACTGGGTCAAAAATGCCACAAATGCACAACAGAAAGCCATGAATTGGCATAATCTATTGATATCTTTTTTTTTCCCCCACAGTTTTCAAAGAGGTAATTTTCTACAGTGGAATTTCATGTCAGATCAGATATCATTTTCTTCCTAAAGCCAAGATAAATGCCATGACATGTGCCCCAGCTGACTCAATAGAAGTGTTATTATGTGCAAGCACCTAATCTGTATCTAATTTATATTGCCAGGTAATAAGGTAGACACACATTCAGTATGAGTGGACAAGGAGTGAAGGACACTCATGCTGTTAAAATCACTGACTTGCTATATAATATAATCAGACAGGGAATTTATTCAGATTAAGAGGTTGCAAATCAATCATACTTTGTTCAGCTACATGGGAAACAGGCTCAAAGAGTGCAATTAATCATCCCTCTTCTGGCCTCTCTGTAGTCAAGGGCTATGCAGAGAAAGAAAAAGGCTTATGAAGGACCATGATCAAAGGATTACTTCTAGCTAGACACTGATACTTCAGTTAAAACCAGATGGTACTCTCAAAACTACGTGCTAAACTCTGTAGCTCCATGCTAATGGTGTAAACAACAACAGGAAAGATTAAATAAAGTTTTACACACTATAGACATCTTAATTTGCCACTTGCTTTTAACTTTAGCATAATAGAAGTTTAACTTACAGAGAACAGTCAGTTTTCAAACTCTTAACACTCGTTTGAAAGAACGTACAGAAAAAAAGAGCAACCTGCTTTTACAGAGCAGAAAGAATTTTCAAAGATCCCACAGCAGGATTTTGAAAAACACCCACCCACAGAAAGACTGACTTATGGACAGAGTACCTGCCATACTGAAAGGCTACTGAACATGTTCAAGACAAGTGGCCTTTATTATGTGATTTGTAGGTAAGAACACTCTTCTCTCCAAAAAACATACAATTTAATCACGAGAAGAAATCTGACATACTAAGTAGCATCACTTCAAGACCTCTTCAGACTGCTGTTTTCTTCTTGCTACTCACACCACACAAACACCCTGCAGGTAGTGTATGACACCAGGGCCCCTGTTCCATGCATCTTTCAGCTTATTCACCACTTCCTATCTGCCTTTAGAACAAAAACACACAAGCAGCTCCCATCTGTAATAAACTACTTCCAATTTCCTGTATGAAATTAAATTAGCTCTTTCTCTGTATAGCAATCCGTATGCAATACATACATCAGAAAGTGAGTAAGGCTGGTGTCAGGTTCTATGTCTTCGTTTCCTTTAAACATATAAAAAAGAAATTATATAAAGATATTATCTTTCTAAATCTAGATCAATGCAGCAGATTAAATAAAAAAACTCCAAACTGTCACACAGGGAGCAAGAAATTAACAATTCTAATAGCTAACACTACATGGGCTTTGCTTCAGCACAAGTACATAACCAATAGTTCTTATAATATTCCCCTATCTTAGCCTTCATTGAAAACACAGAAAAAATTATTCCAGTTGCTTTCTGGTTTGTACTAAAGCAACTCACTCGACTTCTGGTACCTCCTCTTACTGCTCATGCTTCTAAAGTATTCAACACTACATTTTTTTATTGCCTGTTAAGTAGTCTCTCTGGAATACTTCCTGTGCTAGCATAATACATGCTAAAAAGAAATTAAATAAGCCAGGTTTTTTATTCCAGCAGAACAGATTGCCGTCTCCCTCAAAGGAAGGATAAATTCAGCCTCGTTATCCTAGCTAGTGAAGATAAAAAGTACAGGTGCTACACACTGTCATGTGTGAGTGTGTTGAAGATCCTAATAACAAGCACAGTTGTTTCCCAGTTTAGGTCTGAAGGAATTCAAAGGATAAAATCCTGCACATCCCTTGCTATGGTCTACCAATGCTAGCAACTTTATAATTTCTTTTATTATACAAGACGACAGCCAAAGAAGGATTACATTAACACTGGAATGTACTGGAATTACATTGGAAGAGCAATATTTAAGTGTTCCTTTCAGTCTAGTTTTCTCATTGAACCAGGCAGCACTCTGTGCTCACAGAGTGCTCTCAACTGTAAGCACATATGTGCCTGAAAATTCCTGGCTTGCTTCAAGAACTACCAAACTGTATCAGACTAAAGGACAAGCAAGTTCAGTGTCCTGTCTCCAAGTGCCACCAACAGCAGTACTTACAGAGCAGGAGAACATAAGAAGAAAAGGTATTTCCCCAGCATGCTATTCTAATTACTGTGATCTTTGACTAAGCAGCCTTGAAGCATGGAAGCATATTAATTTTTAATATTTCAATCTGATTTTCTTGCCTGAATTTGTCTAAT